GTGGCTGGACCATAATATCCAGCTTTACATTCTTTATTTGCATCTGTAAAAAAGATAGGAGCACACTCGATTGGTTCTGTTTTAGTTATTCTAGGCAATGTAAAAACATGTTTTTTAAGAAAATTAATTTAGAAGATGGATAGTGACAATCAATTGTACCAATAAAATCAGATAATGCTATCTGCCATTCCACATTTTGTGCAAAAAGTCATTCTATCTGATCTTTAGCTAAAGGAACTATTATATATTTGGGATCATATCCTGAAATTTGTCAAATACGAGTACTCAATTTAAAAATCAATTTACTAATAAGGTCTACATAGGTAGTCAATAATTTTGTTTGTTTATAGGGTAAAAATACCCATTCTAATTATAAATTCATTTTGCCATATTATTCCTGTAGGAGAATGAGGTGTAGGCATAATTAAAGCAGTTAAAGGTTGTTGAATATTAATTTGAGATATCTGTTTTTCTTGTATGCCTTGATTAATTTCTTGTAATTCTCGATTGGCTTCAGCTGTAAGTGTTCGTGGACTGTTGAGATCTGTATCTCCTTTTAGGGTATTAAATAAATTTGTCAAAGCATAATTAGGGATACCCAGTTTAGGTCGTAACTAATTAATATCTCCTACTAATTTTTGAAAGTTGTTCAGAGTATTAAGGTGATCAGTTCTAATTTGTATCTTTTGAGGGGATACTGTATGATGATTAAGAATGTATCTCACATAATTATTTTCTGTATTTTATCTGGGGCAATTATTAAACCAAATTCTTTTAATATATTCTGAGTGTCTAAAAATATATGGTGCAATAACTGATTATCTGGATGAGTCAATAAAATAAAATGTCATTCATATAATGTATAACATAAGCTTGGGGATATTTTTGTCTAATGATAGATAAGGGCTGATTAATAAAAATTTGACATAAAGTAGGACTGTTAATCATTCCTTGGGGTAAGAGAGTCCATTGATATCTCTGACTGGTATTAATGCTAGGGACAGTAAAAGCAAACTTAGGAGCATCAGAAGGGTCTAAAGGAATAGTAAAAAAACAATCTTTTAAGTCTATTATTGTAAGATGTCATTTTTTAGGAATCATAGATGGTAAGAGAATACCTGGCTGTAAGGCTCCCATGGGTTCCATTACAGCATTAATTTTTCTTAGGTCTGTTAATATTCTCCATTTACCTGATTTCTTTTTTATAACAAAAACTGGGGAGTTCCAGGGGCTAGTAGATTCAATTATATGTCCTTGTTCTTTATGTTCTATTATTAGCTCATATAATGCTTCCAATTTTTCTCTGGTTAAGGGCCACTGCTCCATCTACATGGGTTTTTCTGAAAGCCAAGTCAGTTTTAATGCAGTTTTTTTTGAAGCAGTGGCCCTAGGATAAATTTGGATTTTGGAAAGGGTTATATCCCATATTGGCCATAATTTGTTTAGCTTGTGGGGATATAGTGGGTATGGTTACATATGCTCCCCATTGCATTAATAAATCTCACCCACAAAATTGACTGGAATATCTGCAACCAGAGGTTGCAAAGTGGCAGTTTGTTGTTCTGGGCCTTTACAGAGCATAGGTTGAGAGATTTGAGAGGTATTATTCATAGTCCCTATTCCTGTTATAACAGTAGGAACTGATTTTATGTCCAGGAATGAGGCCAATGTTTTATAGCTATTATTGAAACATCAGCTCCTGTATTCATGAGCCCAGAAAATCTCTTTCCCCTTATTTCTATATCTAGTTTTGGTCTCTCATCAGTAACATAGGTCTGCCAATATACTTGTTTTCCTATACTTCCAAATCCTCCTTCTCTTTTTCTAGGGGAATTATTAATCTTTATGTAAGGCAAGAGAAGGAGTTGTGTAATTTGGTCTCTCTTTTATTTGATATGGGATATTAGTGCTCTTCATAACATGAATTTCCCCTTCAAAATCTTCAGTGATTCCAATGTGTACTTGAATGCCCTTTATAATTAGACTACTTCTACCAATCATAAGTCCAACAGTATTTTTTGGAAGAGGACCCCATATTCCTGTAGGAATTTTACATATTCCCATAGATGGCATCAATAATTGATTATCTAGGGCAGGAATATCTATTGCTGTGCTGTCCGAGGTTGCTGGAAGTAAATCATAGATTGATTGTTTTCTAATATTTGAGTGGGACATGTGAATGGGACTGCATTCCATGAACTTGGATTATTTGGGGAGCCCCAGCTGGGGCCCAAAAGGCGTTTCCCAACAGAGGAGTTCTGTCTTTATGAAATTTGGAATGGCATTGATTAGCCCAATGATTTCCTTTTTGACATTTAGAACGTAATCCAGGGGTTTTAGTTTCCCTTTTTTAATCATTATTATTTTTTATTTTACAATCTTTTTTCATATGTCCCAGTTTTCTGCATCCATGACATTTAATTTTATTGTCCTTTTTTCCTTTTGAAAGGGTCTGTGCCAATAATTGCATCTTATAGGGTTCTGATCCAATATCATGACACACCTTTATATAATCTTCCAAGTTGCTTCCCTGAGCTTTTAAAGGTTGGAGAGCCTTTTGCATTGAGAGTTAGCATTTCATAAGCCAACAGCTGTAAAAGCATGTCCCTTAGATTAGGTTGAGATACCGTGCTCATTAAATTTTGTCAAAGTCTGGCTATAAAGTCAACATAAGGGTCTCCATTAGACTAACTTGTGTAAACGATGGAGTAGTATGTCCAGGAGGATTAAGTTCTTCCCAAGCTCTTAAACATAGAAATCGTACTTGGGAGAGCACCTGATCATCAAATTGTAATTGAGCCTGTATTCCAAAATATCCTCCTGACCCCATCAGCTGTTCCAAGGAAATGTTAATAGGTGGATTTGAAGCAGCATTTTTATGAGCTTGTTGATTTGTTTCATCTTGCCACCAGGTTTTAAACTGTAAAAATTCAGAGGATGATAAACAAGTTCTTGCAACCATATCTCAGTCAAAAGGGATCAGCATTTCAGCTTGTCAAAGTCCTTGAATTAAACCCATGGTATACGGAGAGTTAGTACCATATTGTGTACATGCTTGTTTTATCTCTTTGACTGTCTTAAAAGGAAGAGGATGATAATCAAAAGTAATAGCACCTTGTGGATATTGTGGACCAGAGGACTACCACAGGGAGGGCTAGGGCATCTTCATCCCCTTGTAGCTGTGCCTGTCTAATTCCCCTTTGAAAGGGAGAAATATGGTTGGGCACTGTCAGAGGTTTCAAAATGTCATTCCATGGAGTCTCCGGATCTAAAGGGGGTGGCTCTGTTAAGGGTGCTGAAGGATGAGCCACATTAACCATGGGGAAATGATCATTACTCCCATATGATTTTATTTTCTTTCGCCCTTTTTGTTTGTGGCGCAGAGGTGCTTTTCCCCCTTCAGAATCACTATTCTCATAAAAACGAGATTCATTCTCTGACTGTTCATGTATTGTCTCTATAGAATCTTCAGAATCGGAGGCTTCTGAATGTAAAAATCCTAATGCAGTGCTAATAAGATTCCCCAGTGACCAAAGGAATATGTTCCCCACTATGATAAGCTCTGCGTAGGCAACGCGTAACTTCTTGCTATTCTTTATACCTTAAAGTCCCTCTACCTGGATCAAGTCAAAAGCAATGTTTTTCAATAGCAGAAAGTAAGTCTTTTAAAGTAGAATGAGAAACTTGCACTCCCGAGTTTTTCAACGAAGTCTTTAAAAGACTTGCATATACTCGGTATGCTTAGGGCTTCCCTTGTGGCTCAGATGGTAAAGAATCTGCCTACAATGCTGGAGACCAGGGTTCAATCCCTAGGTCGGGAAAATCCTCTGGAAAAGGAATTGCAACCCATGCCCCATTGTTACCCTGATTGAATTATCCACGGGGTGTACTCACCAGGTACTTTCCACGTCCACCTCTTCAGTTGGAATTCTCCGTGTTCCTTGCCTCCTAAGGAGAAGCTTTGAAAGCTGGTTTCACTTTCAGGTCCCTGTTGGGGCTCCACTTGTCGAGTCCAGCTCGACAGCACAGGTTCCCCAAAGCGCCACCATGGCGAAAGAATGAGAAACACTCAAGAAAGTTACAGCAGGGATCAGGGGACCAACAGCCCCACGAGGTGAAGGTACCCAAACTGATCTCAAGTCTGCTTTATTATACTTTTTGAGACTTGCTTGTATGTGTTTACATGAGCACAGCAGGCCACGTGGCCTTCAGTGATAATCCTGTGCAGTTAACATTTAATATTTTTGTATCCCTCTTTTTCTGCCTCAAGGACAGAGACCCAGGTAATCTTTATGTGCCTCCCAGGCACCAAGGATAGGAACAGTCTGTGATGGCTTCCCATCCGCAGGCGTACATCCTACTTTCAAGATGTTTTCTGTTCCTTCTTGGATTCCTTCAGGAGTCCCATACTGAATCATGTCCTCTCAGCAAGATTGTTTAATTCTTTTGTCAGGCCTTTTAGTAGGCCTGTCTCCTACAAAAACAATTCTTTAAGCCGCAGCAGCTGTTCAAATAAATGAACCTATTTTTCTTCGCGGCTTCGAAGTGGCTCTAAAGGTAATCAAAACCATCGGTTCTTTAAGGTTTATTAAAATTAAACCATTCCCAACTTAGCATCTTAAAGTCTCACATTTTGATCCGCTCCCATCCTCTCTGTCCTTGCCTATGTCAATCACTCTCTAATGCAGACTTTACCACTCGAAATGTGCGCTCTTTCCTGGGTGTTCCTGGCCCAGTACTGCCCAAGACTTTAGGGCCCAGAGTTCACAGAAGAGTCAGCGTGGACCCACAAAACAGCCCCAAAGATTCTCTTCCTAACCTGCACAAGTGTCCACACAGGCAAGGTCCGAAACCGGAATCAAGGCGACCCCGCCAAAAAAAGAATGAAGAGCAACCTGCGGCGGCAGGTGGGTGGGTTGCAGCCGAGCCCTTATCGAGCTCGTAGGGGTCACGCAGGGTCACGCATGGCGCCGCAGAGCCTGCCGGGAGCTCGGTGTGCAATGGCGACGCCAAGCCTCCGCGGTCGACTAGCACGGCTTGGGAACCCGCGGAAGCCTATACTGAAGCCCAATAAGCCCCTCATCCTAGCTGACCATGTCGGGGAACGGCGCCGGGAGAAGGGCGGTGAGTCTTCGGAGCCTCGGAGGCCCCAGTGCGGAAGCCGGAGTAGTGCCGGAGGCTACTGGGTGGGAGGGTCGGAAAGTAAGGGTTTCTTTGTGACTGAGGATCCTCCCGTTCTGCCCCTCCAGAGGCGACCTGTATCACGGAGATGTCGATAATGATGGCCTGCTGGAAGCAGAATGAATTCCGCGACGAAGCGTGCAAAAAAGAGATCCGAGACTTCTTCGATTGTGCTTCGCGGGCTGAGGTGACAGGAGGCTTCTGGGGTGCCGTTTTGGGAGGAAAATAGGGGGCATACAGTAATGGTTCAGGTTATTGTTTTGAAATCTCTGTAATGCTGAGCGATTTGTTTCATTGCTTTCAGCTTTACCGGGTGCAAAATGAGGTTAATCATTAATATTCATTTTACAGAATTTTTTTATCAAGCGAAGACATGCATGGGAAAGCCACTTTTTAAAGTTTAAATTGCTGATCAAATAGACATTATTGTTTAAAGTAAACTAGAGACAGTAAAGGACAGGTTGTTTGGTTTCCAGACTAAATTGCCGGCTGGCAATTGTATACTAAATTGTATAATTCAGATTTTACAATCATTCGTGGATCCCAAGTCCTATGAATGAAAGGGAACTGGGAAGATGACACAGATCTCCAGCCTGGTTAACACCTTAGTGTAATTTGGGTTGTGTGAGAATTCTTAGCTTAGGTCCAGGCCTACTTCAGAACTGTCATTTTAATTTTTGCTCTGTGTTTTCAGGCAGCCCGAAAAATGAGATCAATCCAGGAGGATCTGGGAGAGTTGGGGACTTTACCCCCCAAGAAATTGAATAAGCTGCTACAAAGGTTTCCTAACAAACCTCACGTCAGCTGAAAATGGAGAAGCATTTTCAATGACTGGACTTAGCTTCTGAGAACTAAATAGAGACATTTTAGAGATATTTGCACTGCCATGCTCTCTTTGAAGAGTAGAAGGAGGCAAAACACTTGTCTTTTTTTTTTTTTTTTTTTACACTTTGGAAACATTACGTGAATGGAAATTTTGCTTTATTTTTAAATAAAATTTTCTGAAGAGAACTTGGCCTTTTGTCGTGGATTAGGTACTCCCACCATAGTTGAACCTTGTGTCCTCCCCTACATTCTGAAAGGTCTTTGCTCCCTGATTTGCAGCAGGAGCAGGACAAAAACCTTTGTGTTGTCCTGCAATTGAGGTCCTTTATACTATTTAGTGCCCTTGCCTTTGGATGCATATCCATATATGCAGTTTTTTGCCATCATCTGTAAGTATATTTAGAGACAACCTATTTTTGTGCATAGCCTCTGTAAGGTGCTGCTGGAATAATCAGATGTTCGCAGATTAATAACCCACAGTTCCTGCAGATGAATTTTATTTGGCCCACACAGTTAAAATTTAAATTAGCTGACCATAATAGAAAAAATGTCATAAAAGTACACTTTTTAGCTTCCCTTAAAAAAAAAAAGATCTGACAACCCTAGTTTCTTATCCCCACATGGAAGTAAAGATTAATCAAAAGTGTTGATTATCTCCATTCTCCAGAGATCTGGCCGTGGGACTCCCCCAAGTGGTGAGACTGAGACTTAATTGGCAATTATCATCTTTATGTATCACCTGTTCAGTAGTGTCATTAAGTTACCTGCCTAGTTGCTGAAGGCATTTACTTTTGTGACCTCTTGATATTCTATAGCCTGCCCTTTCAGACATACTGAGTTAACCTTTTCTATGTACTTTACAGCACATATATCCCCGTTAAATATACAAAGGGATCAGTGGGGGTTTTAAAACTCCAGTGGGATAATTATTAAGATAAAAGAAAGGGCAATGCCTTCTTTAACGCCCCCCACCACATACCCCATTGATGGAGCACTGGACAACTGCCTATTCTGCCAGCTGAGGCTGTTAGGAAGAAGTTCAGTGCTTAGGTACTGTGGACTAGCCTTGAAGTTCTTAACCTTTGGTCAATAGACTCCCAGTAAAAGGTCTGTGAATATGAATAAGAAGAGAAAAAGTTATCTTTAACCACAACTGAAATTGAGTATTTCAGTTAGCACTGGGAAACAACAGTATTATTAGCAATACCTATATGAAACCACAATATTTTATACATTACAGTTACAGATGTCTCAATATTTATACTCATCACAGGGAAACCTGGCATGCTGCAGTCCATGGGGTGGCAAAGAGTCAGACACGACTGAGCGACTGAACTGAACTTCAAATTTATGGTAGTTAAACTTGCAGCTAGATTTTATTAATTGTATTTCAACATAAAATATTTTCTTTATAATTCTTTGACTTAGTCTATTTATAAACAATCTGAGGGACCTCCCAGGTGGTCCAGTGATACTCTGCTTCCAGTGCAGGGGGCGCAGGTTCAATCCCTGTTCAGGAAACTATGATTCCACATGTGGCCCAAAAAATACAAATACTTTAAAAAAAACTATTGCGGGGGGGGGGGGGGGGCGGGCGCGGGTCCCCGGGTCTTCACCAGGTTGCCATGGCACACACATAAAAAAGGTTAGGAACATCTAGACTCAAAAGGCCCCACTAACAGGACTACCACCTCCCGAAATCAAATGCCTTCTTTTCCTGGTGCTTCGCCAATTAGACCCCATAAAAAGTCTTCTGGAATGCAGGCTTCTGAACTACAATTCCCAGGAGGTGGTGCGGCCCTGGGCCTATCCAGAGTTAGGACAATAACACCACCCAATGGTTCCTGTGTTTGTCTCTTGACAGCCTACAATTCCCGACATGCGTAGCGGCTGTTTCTTCCTTGGGAGTGTTAGAGGCGCCGACTTACTGCTGGGATCTCTAGTCATTTCGTATACTTTTGGGGGTTGGCTTTCTCTTAACGGTACTGGAGGTGAGCTCCAGAAAGAAAAAAAAAGTAGCATTTAAACCTCTCCCTTCTGTCCGCGCGCACCGGGTCGGGTTCCTGGGCGCGCGAGGGCGGAAGTGGTGGTGGCCGGCGCGGCCGGAAGTTCAGATCAGCTGATGGGGGAGGCGGTGCCGCAGCCTCTAGGAGGCCCCGGCTGCCGAGCGCTTCGTCCGGGCCCTGAGTCTCCGAGTCTGGCCGCGATCCCGGTTTACACCTAGCAGTTGGGCAAGGCCCCGTCCCATATCTCTTCCAGGCCTGAGATCCTCGCCCGGCACGGCCGCCCTGAGCGCCCCGGCCACCCCCAGCCCCGGCTCGCCCCTCAGGCCCCGGGCCTCCCCACAGTCCCCGGCCGGCGGCCCAGGCCCCGGATCCGCGGGGGGAGACCCGGCTCCGGGGGGTGCGGGCCCCATGGAGCTGATGTTCGCCGAGTGGGAGGACGGAGAGCGCTTCTCTTTCGAGGATTCAGACCGCTTTGAGGAGGATTCGCTCTGTTCCTTCATTTCAGAGGCTGAGAGCCTCTGCCAGAACTGGCGGGGATGGCGCAAACAGTCAGCGGGGCCCAATTCCCCCACTGGCGGCGGTGGCGGAGGTGGCAGTGGCGGTACCAGAATGCGAGGTGAGAGAGTGGGCTGGCCGTGCCCCGGCCTTTCTCTGGAGCTGTCCCTGCTTAGAGCTGCCCCAGACCGGGAGCTGTCCCAAGCTTAGACCCGACTTCAGGACTCGCTTTTCCGGTCTTCCTGCGGCTGCTTTCTCCACACCTGCGTGTGTGTGTGTGTGTGTGTGTGTGTGTTGAAGTGATGACTGGGAAATCCTGAGTTGGATAGGATTAAACAACAGAAAGTAGATTTTCTGTCGTTCATTGGCCTTAGAGATAAGGTAAAGGGGAATTCCCACTTTGACTTGGGAGTACTTATCCACTTCAGCCTGAGGCAGGGCAGAAAATAGAAATGAATATGAGTAGGGGGCGGATTGTGGAGAAGTGACCACTTGAGGTGTCACCCCATTGCAAAGTGCACTTGGAGCTGCTCCTTCAAGGTGGTGATCTCTCATCCCAGCTGCACCAAGAAGGGATTCCATCCAGAGGAAAGTGGAGGTGAACTGGCTGGTGAGAGCAGATGTCACATAGGTTTAGATCAGAGGCTTGGTTCCTGGCCGTGTTGAATACCAGTCAGAAACCATGGCTGGGACCAGTGTATTAAAACCTTAGATTTCCATCACCTGGAGCCTGGGGAGGAGTGTAGATACTTGTTTCCGGAGTCTCATGAAACATTCTTGTTTTCACTTGAGTTTCTTCCATCCTTGGGCCTTTCAGTGAGCTAACTGATTAATGCTGTGAAGGATTTTGTTTTTATTAAAGAGGATGGAAGAGGAGAGTCATGATAACAAGTCCTGCAGGCTCAGGACATTCTTTCTTTGCCTTCCTCAAGGTGCAGTTTTGTCCTGGGCTTCACTGGAAGTGGACTTTTTTCACCAGTTGAGGGGTTTAATTTGTGATTCTACTCTGGACATTCTAAGGTCCTGTTTTTCAAACTGTCCTGCAGAGATTTCTAGCACTCCTTAGGGAAAGAGAGAAACTTAGATGTGTCACTACTTAGAAGTGATAATATTTATCTTCACTTAGATACCATATGCCCTACACACACACACAGACACCCACGCACGCACGTGCATGCCTAGCAGTTTCTCTGTGGGTCTTCTGTGGCTGCTCTGCTTCTTTCATATTTGCATGTGTGGGTAGTCTTGGGGCTTAGAGCTCCCTCATTTTGAGGGAAATAACTGAAGATGGTGAAGATTTTTAACATATTATAAATCAACTATACTCTAGTTTAAAAAAAGTTTTCAACATGTTGATATCTTCTTGAACAGGTTAAAATCTAGGAAAACACGTCATTTCCACCCCTCCCCAACCCGACCCTTTTTCAGTCACTGACTGAAAGGACCAAAGGAAACTAACTTTTTTAGAAAAGTTCCTTTCAGCTCCATCATTTTCTTTTTTCTCCCTATCATTTTCTAATATGTGTTTTAATCTATCAGTTTAGTGAAATATGCAGTTTTTTGTATCTTTTTGATTAAAACAGTGTGTCACACTTTGAATGGTAACGACATCCAACTCCAGGTGATTCCAGGAACAGCAGTCCGGTTACCTTAGGATAACCTAACCCCCTTCCCAGTCCCTCACCCCAGGGCGTTCATTGTGGAAAGCCAGGGTTCAAGTGTGCCGAAGAAAGGGCAGACTCTCTTGCTTCCGGAGGCTCCTCTCTTGAACTCTTCTGGGTTCTGGACTGCCTTTCCTCCTTAGGTGGAGGCATGGAGTCATTTAGAGAAAAAGGATAGTTTAAGAAAAAAAAAGCAATTAGAGAAGAGAATGGCAGGTGAGCTATATTAACAGTGTAATATGAATCTAAATTGCTAGGTATATGGGAAACTAGATGCCAAGCCAAGTGAGACTCATTACTTTCTGGGACCCTGGAACACACCTGTTTGGCCAGGAGTTTCTGGGACATCCCAGGCATCTTCCAGCAGGCTGTTACCCGGGGCTTGTTTAGCTCCCTTTCCCCAGAAAAAGTCTTAAGGGTTAATGTATCCTGACAGAGGGGGTCCCTTGGCTTTTCATCCAGATGTCCTCCTTTCATAGAGAAAGTGGGGGACCCCAAGATGTGGCACTGGCATCTGTGCTGAATAATCTTGGCCCTTTTCATTTCCCTTCCTCTTTCTCCTCTCCTTGACCTTTGTTTCCATAGATGGACTGGTGATCCCACTGGTGGAGCTGTCAGCAAAGCAGGTGGCATTTCATATCCCCTTTGAAGTGGTGGAGAAAGTTTACCCCCCAGTGCCTGAGCAGCTACAACTCCGAATTGCTTTTTGGAGCTTCCCTGAGAATGAAGAAGATATTCGGTGAGGCTAAAGGACTGACGTGGAGGGGTGGGGCCCTGAAGTTCTGCACTGCGTGCCAGGCTTCCCAAGGAACAAAAGAGAT